ACACCCCAGATCTGTGGGGCTATGGTCTCCCAGCACAATGCCTGGCAAGGCTGCAGGATGACAAGCACCCCTGCAGGAAAAGACATGCCTCAGTCTTTTGCAACCGTTCAGATATTAGTTGAGAGTAATGAATGGAAAGAGTCACCGCATTAATCGCTCTGATCTGGAGTTGCCAATTTGGCTCATACTTAGACCCACCTCCAGGTCCACAACCTCCTCAGGCACCATGGCTGGGCTTGAAGTGACCAAAGATGCCAGGCTCATATGGTGGTCTCTGCTGGTTGACTAGCCTGGAGAAACACTTTGCCAGCATACTCGCTGGGAAGGGGCTAAATCCCAAGCACCTGTGGAAGGCCGGGGTCTTCTTACTTCTTCCACAAGATGTGCTAATCCAACCCTCCTGGTGAGGGCTCGTTCATTCATCTCGCCAGTATTTATTGACCAACTGCTCTGTGCCATGTAGGTGCAATGTGAGGTCCCTGACACAGAGCTACCCTGAAATCAAAGCACAGTATAACAGCTGGCATGCTGGGGGAGGAGCTAGGAAGTTGGTTAGAGCTCCAGCTCTGCCACTAACAAGCAGTGAGACCTTGGGCAGGTCACCTCTCTCTGGGTCTCAAGGGCTCACCTGTAAAACCGGGACTGGGCTGATGATGCCTGTGGTCTAGCTTAAAGATCCCAGTTGTTTAATCTACTAAATAACACCTCTGATGGATGGATCATGGTAGTCTTGGTCAAAGAGCTTCAAGCTTGTAGAAAACACAAGCTCGGCAACCTACACAGCAACCCATCGGCACGGGAAGGGTTCCTGGTTTGCTACCTGAAAATTAAAGAACGCATAGCCTTGAGATGAATGAGAAGTCGAACTGGCCACAGGGAGAGACACAGGGCAGGGCAGTGGCAGTCTAAGGCGGATCATGGTGGTCTTCTTGATGCCATATGCGGTGTCCCTGAAAGGTCCTTGCCCCAAATATCTGCTCCCCAACCCCCAATCTGGGTCCTGCCTCTGGACCTCTGGAATTCCACCATTTGAGAGAAAGTTTTTTGGTTTTTGTTTTTAAGGGGGCTTGTCTTTGATTGCAGGCATCTTCAGGCAAAATGCAGACGGCCAAGAGCAGGGTGTGGCTCCCACCCTTCTAAGGTTGCCTGAGTCTTCCCTGCCTGCCAGCAGGGGCCCTGGGTGCCTGAGGCTGGAGGACAAGGGGGAACCCTGAAGGGAGGGCCTCCTGGGCTGAGTCAAGGTCTCCTGGACTAAGTCCCACAGGGCCTGGGGGAGAGGGACAGGGAAAGAGAAAGAACGCGCACAAGATCTGAATTCTCCGGGAGGGCTGGGAGTGGGAGAGCTGAGGGCAAGAGCCTGGTGCCTCCCTTTAGCTAACCGATTCCTCAGAGGAGCCAACGCGGAGAGGGGAGGAAGGGAGGACGGGTCAGGAGACAGGGTGGGGCCGGGATGGGGGAAACTGTAAACCAACGGGGCGGATTCACGAAAAATTCCCAAGTGTAGTGAGGGTAGAGGGTGCTGGGCAGCACCCCAGTTCGCCGGGCCCACGCCCCTCGAGTTGCCCGGCCTGCTCAGACTGGTTCGCCCACCTCTCCCTCCCCGCCAGCCCCTCGCCTGATCCCTGAGAAAGCAGAATCGGGAACGTGAAGTCACCGCAGACGCTCCACCCCGCCACAACCTCCCCGGACCGCGCGCCCGCGCGCAGCCCCCTTCCCGCGGAGACCGTCCGCGGCCCTGCAGGACGCCCCGCCCCAGCCCCGCCTCCGGGAGCCCGCGCCCTCCTCCCGGGTGTCACGGGCCCTTCTCTGCCGCGCCCCTCCCGCGGCCGCAGCCCGTTCCCGGCCTCTCCTCCGCATTCTCGCACCACTCCAGCCCGACCTCCTCACCCGCGCGGCGCCTCCCCTGCCCGCGGTTACCCGGGTACCGCCCGAGAGGCCGGCGCCGGCCCGGGCGGGCGGGACCCGCACTGACCCGGCAGAGCGCGGGGCGGGCCGAAAGGGGAGGGCGCCGCGCCGGACCCCCCAACCGCTGCCGGCCGCCCACCCCCGAGCAGGGCTTCGTGCCAGGGCTCAGTGTGCGCCGCAGGCCGCCAGCCAGGCTGCAGCTATCAGCTGGGCGGAGGGCAGTGCCAGCTGCAGACGTCCCTGCGGTGCAGGCACCACCCTGCCACCACCAGCCTCCTTCCCTGACAGCAGCACCTTCTACCGGAAACCGAGAGCCGCAGGGACCTCCTGAGAGGCAAGGCTACACGCAAGCCCAGCTAACTTGCTTTCCGAGTGACCTTGGGCAAGTTACTTCTCTATGCCTCAGTTGTTGGATCTGTAAAATGGAGGTAATAGTACTTGCCTCACTGAGTGTTGAGTTTTAGTGCCTGGCACATAATAGGTACTGCATAAATAGTAGTGGTTATTACCTCTTCCCCAGCATTTGAGGTTTGGCAGAGGGATGTATAGGCTACTCTGTCATTAAGGATCTGTTAAGCACCTACTAGGTGCAAGGCAGGCCACTTGGTGCGGTGCAAGAGTTAGATGTGAGTTTGAGTCCCAGCTCTGTCACTTAGTGGCTGCGTGTGGGCTTGAGAAAAGTCTCCCCCACAGTAAAGTAGGGACAGTAATGCCCATCTTGCAAAGCCAATGCAGGGATTAAATGAGACAATGTAAGGAGAGTGTCCAGGGCAGTTCTCAGCACACAGTAAGGCCTTTCAGTAAATCAGAGACATGGGGGAGAGCAGGGAGGGTGGGGATGGGAAAGACAGGCTCAGTTTCTGCTAATCAGAGCTCTAGGGAGGTAAGTAAGACCTGTGGGAGAAAAATACCACTAACTCAGGGGAGGGCCACTGGAGGGCAGGCCTTAGCGTCTATGAGATTGAAAGTGTGGAGGTGGGATCCCGGGCATTGGTGGGAGGTGTTTCTGAACCAGGTCTCTCAGCCTCTCCCACTAGAAGCAAGGCACCAACCGCTGGGCTTGAGAGCTCGAGAAGGGATATAGGTGCTCCAGCGTGACTGATGTCAACATCTGCTTTACTGGGGAGGACTCGGGGATGGCTTGGCCATCTCTCCCCCATCCTGATGGGAGAAAGGAATGGAAAGAACAGTGGAAAATGAGCCCTGAGCAAAATCTCCGCCCTTTATAATGACTGTGAATGTGGCGGAACACAGTCACTGCCCTGGGCTGCGGCTGTGTGACTCTGGAACTGGGTTCCCTCATCTGTAAAATAACAGACTGGCCAGATGTTTTCTAGGCCCCCTGCCCTGCAGCTCTCCTCCCTTCTTGAAAGCAATACACGCCGTGACCCACAGGAATGTGAGAGGGAAGCCACTCCTTCTCAGGGGGTGCAGGGCCTGGCTTCAGTCCTATCACCCACTCCGAGCACCGGCTGGTAGCCCTCTTTAGTGGAGCGGAAATGAGGTGGGGCTTAACCCTGGGACAGGCTCCCCGAAGCAGCCAGGGAAGACCAGCTGTCCCGTTGAATATGACTCTTAGAGCTGGAAGGAGCCTCACGAGCAGGTGTCCAGCCCTCTCACTTATAGACGAGCAAACAAAAGCCCAGAGAAGTGAAGAGACTTGCCCAAGTTCACGTGTCTCTTGAGGGGCATAGCCACCTTTCAATCCACTGCACCATATTGCTTCCAATTCAGTTAACAGCAACAATAAAAAACCTATAAGCTGGTGACCAAGGCCGATCAAAATCTCTCACAAAAGCAAAATGGAAATGCATTAGCTTTGCTATCAGAAAAGAAACTGCTTTGGGAAGTGAGAAGACTGATCCAAACAGCCCCGACAGCCACCATAAACACCGTCGGAGGCTGGAGGGGTTCACGGTGGGCAGTGGGGTGCAGCTCCTGCCAGGTCAGAGGGGATTTGCCCATGTGATCAGTGCTGCAGACTCCGCGAAGAGAGTCCAAGGACACTGGGCTCTGAGTACTAATATGCATTTTTATTCTGCAATAATTTTCATACTGAGTTCAAGAGGCATCCGCTCCAAGTACATAAAACCAAATCAAATTAAATTAATTGATTTTATTGAAACCTGCTGCAGTTGTATTCAAGCCCACAGCCAGGGGCATGACCCTCGTGAAATACCAAAGGGGCTTTTGAAATAATTAAATTAATCACACCCAGGGTTATGCACAAGGGCTTGCTCCTGTACTCACAGGCAGGCACGTTCCCAGTCACGGCCATGGGCAGGAAAGGGGCATGTGGCTGCGACACAACCGCAAAATACGGTACCACCGAGGGGAGCCCAAGACCTAGACTTCTCATTTTGGGGTAAGCCTTTGTGCTCTTTTGGAAAACACACACACACTTACCCCCACCCATACACACACTCACACTGCCACTCACACTCACATGCTCACACACATACGCACATGCTCACCAGCTAGCACGCCCTTCTCTCTTTCTCCCTGACTGCATTTGGCTCGCCCAGTGTACTCCTCCTCCTCCTCCGGCCCCTCCCTTCAGCACGTACACTCTGTACTTGGATGATGCACTTTCTTGTTGGCTGTTTCTTGTGAGGGACCCTCCTGCATCACTAAGCAAAGGCTAATAGCCCCTCGAATGCAGAGAATGGGCCTCTGTCTTCTCTGGGTCTCTCAGGAAGCTCAGCATAACCAAGGGAGGGAATAATTTCCATTTTAAGAGCTCTGCACGTGGAAGGTGCTCCTACTGTGTGTGAGGCAGTGTCCACGTGACTTTCCACATACTATCTTATGTAGTCCTCACCATGACATCCCTCAACACACACACCCCCAGTTGGGATGGTTGTTGTCCTCATTTTACAGACAACATACCGAGGCACAGAGAGGTCAGGTCACTTGCCCAAGGTAACCCAGCTGTGAAAGCGAGCGGAGCTATATCGCTGCTCGGTAAATCTTAAACCAAAAATATTCCATACACGCTGTTGCTAATCAAGAGATGGCATCACCCTCTGTTTGAAGACAGTCTCACAAGCAAGAAAGGGCACCAAATCGTGTGCACCAGTGGAAGGGACATGCACCAACCCTTCATTTCACAGAGGAGGGAATTTGCAGGCCAGGAAGGGGAGGGTTTTTGTTCAAGGTCACAAGCAACTTAGAGGACAGAGCACCCTGCCTCCCGTTAGCCTACAGCTCTGAGCTGCTCTGCCGGGGAGAAACGTTACTGATTACTCATGCATTCAGGGCTAAGAAAACACTCCAACTCGGCCCGTCCTGTAGGGATATCATCTAGGGAGCAAATGGGAACAGCGTGAGGGACCTGGCCTTGTCAGGGATCAAACCCCCAAACCGTGGCCTCATCGGCACCTGCCACAGTCCTTGTGTTAACCTGCCCGGACACCCTCAAAGACAAAGCCTGTCACTCTATCCCTGTTGCACAATGAGCTTCCAAAGTCGCTTGACCTCCCTCCCTGCCTTACACTCCCCTTTCACTACCAAATGCTACAACCTCAAGGTTAACCTCAAAACAGAGCCCTGGACTGTGGCCAAGGTGAATCCTCCCCCTAACTCTGTGAACTTGAGCTGCTTAATACTAAAGAGGAACATGAGCATCATAACCATGACAGCCACCCTTCATGGAGTCTGCACTGCTCTGTGCCAGGCACACGTACTGCTGTCCCATTCGATCCTCACAACAACCTCCTTTTACAGACGAGGACACCCAGGGAAAGGGAGGTGAGTATTAGTAACTGGTGGGGCCTGGATTCGAAGCCAGGTCTTTCTTTTTAAAATTACCAACTATTTTTATTAATAGTATGGCATACCTGTCTGGCACACCCGTGTAATATATTTTCCCCATATTTCTTGACTAATACTCTTTGATTCCCTCTTTATAGAAGAATAATGTTTTTAAAAAATTGTAGTTAAATATATATAACGTAAATATTGCTATTTTAATCATTTTAAGTGCACAATTCAGTGGCATTAAGTACATTCACATAGTTGTGCAACCATCATCACTGTTTCCAAAACTTTTTCATTAACCCAAATAAAAACGCTGTAACCATTAAGCAATAACTTCCCAATTTCCCCCTCCTCCAACCCCTGGTAACCTCTAATTTCCTTTCTGTCTATGAATTTATTTATTTATTTATTCAGGAAAATAAGAGCCCTAGGTAGCAAGAATTTATCTATTCTAGATGCTTCACCTAAGTGGAATCATACAGTATTTGTCTTTGTGTCTGCACAGCCAGTTCTCTTACACGGTAAGCCAGACTGCTCAGCTTCTCAGACCCTCAGTTTCCCACCTGCTAAAGGGACACAGTGACCGGAGCCCTGTTTCCCTTGCAAGGACACTGCGGGGTGGGAATGCCCACACCAGTGATGTCATCCTGGGGAGGGCCAGTCCCGAGGAAGCTCAGTGTCCCCAGTTACTTGCAGGCAGAAGACCTTTGCTTAGCTCTGAGCATTGCCAACAGCACTAGTGAAGCAGCACATTAAGGGAAAAGAAAAAGGAGTCTCTAGCAGGGAGACGTGGCAGGAGGCGACCCCAATGCCTCCTGGGCCGGGGCACTGCGCTGCCACAGACAGCCGAGAGCCAGCCTTGGATGGACCAATGGGCACTACACTTGCTGATGGTTTTGCTAAAGTGGCTCTGGAAGCTGCTGTCCCCATTAAACAAGCTCTTTGAAACTCAGTCAGTGCAGCCACTGACACTTCCTGGGTGCCTCCTGTATACTGAGCTAGGAGGTGACTCAGTCATGTTGTCCTTACCAGATGGAAGGGAAGCTCTTGAGGCTGTTTGCCCACACCCGGCCTCCAGCCCCAAGAATCCCTGCTCTGCCTTGCCCCTCTCTGGCCTCTGAACCCCATCCCACCCTTCCAGCAGAGCTGTCTGTGCCTGCTCTCTGCACAGTGGCCATCCGGGGTAATCTTGTGTCTGGTCCCTCCTTGGCTGGAGGCAACATCCAGACCCCTTCTCCACCCTCACAGGCCTCCCGCCCACCACTGAATCTCCACTTTGAAAGCTTTCCAAGGACGAGTGATCTCCTCCAGGCCTAGCCACACACCACCCTTGCCTCCCTCCCAGTCCTGCCTGCCCCTTCCACGGCCGCAGCCTACCCATTTCCTCTGCCCTTTTCACCCTTTGGCACCAGAGCCCTGCTATTCTGGGCCTTTGGCCCAGCTCCTTCCTTGGTCCAGCTGCTCCTGTACTAGGGCCTCCATTTCTTGTCTTTTCTCTTTGAGTTAACTGTTACCCAGCCCTGTTAACCAGCCCCTCTCCAAAATGCACCCTGAAAACATGTGGCACTAAGGTATGGGGGACTCCAAAGGCAGCAAGACTCAGCACAGATCTAATGCTTGAGCTATCTACTTAGAAATGTTAAATGCAGGCCACTGCATTGCTAGGTTGGGTGTGTGAGTGTGCCTGTGTGTGTGTGTGTGCAAGCCAATAGACTTTGGGTCCTTCCAAGAAGCTTTTCAAAGCAATCTTTCTCCACTTGCCAGAAACAATGAATTAGCAAGGGTGAGCCCCAGCAGGATTAAGAATCCTTTTTGGGTTACCCAAGTTGTTTGCTTCTTTTATAACACAGCAGCCACTGGATTGCAAGGTTTCTTTCAGAGGATGCTAGGGCAATTACTGCAGATCTTATAAAATTACACTGAATGGTATGTTTGAAAAGATAATTTTCTGTATTTGGCTCCGTGAAAAGTTTCCCATAAGAGCAGCAACAGTCAGATAAAGGTGCCCGCCCACATAAAACCGTTTTAGTGGGGTTTCAGATCCCTTTCAGAGTGTGGAAAAGAGAGAGGGGAGGAGACAGGACTATAAAAAGGAAAAACAAGTCTGCATGCTTTGATTTGGCCTTGGTGACCAGGAAAAAACACTCAGAGGGTGCCATGGTCAATATTCGCTTCACTGAGCTTATCACCAGGCCCTGACCCATCGGGAGCAAAGGGCAGAGCCTGGCACAGGGCCCGGTGCTGTGTGAGGGGTCCAGGGCAAGGGCCAGGTGACTAAGCTGCCCTGGGCCTAATGGTCAGAGCCTCCCGGCCAAAAGGCCCCCAGAAGAGGTTTGCTTGCTGCACGACGACCTCCTGCACCTCTGTGCCGAAGCTTTCAGATCCAGAAGCCCTGGGAAACTTTTGTTTAACAGATACATGGTCAATGTGCAGGTTTCTCTATGCATGACACAAAACCCACAATTCATAAAGGGGAAAGAAGGTGATGGACTGGATTATGGAAAAGTTAAAAACTTTTATGTGACAAAGATACCACAATCCAAGTTAAAAAACAGACTGGGAGAAAGTATTTGCATTACATGTAACAAACATAGGTTTAAATATATAATATACTAAGAGTTCCTATAAATCAGTAAGGAAAAACATGTAGCATAAATGTCCACTAAACTTATTTAAATGGGTCCATCTCACTAGTAATTTTTTTTAAATGTAAAAACCAACTGTGCCAATGAAGAAATGGGGAGAGGCAGATATTCTAAGGGAAGGGCACTAGATTAAAGAGCTAGAAGACTTGAAATCCTGTCACCTGTCCAGTAAGACCTCAGGCAAATCATATTCCCTGCCTGGGACCATTTCCTAGTTAATATTTTAATGGAAGTTGCGTAAAGAATGGTGCTGGGTTCCTGTCTCTTGCATGAGGCAGAAAAGTGGCTTCTTATACCATCCTCCTCTCTGAGGAGTTCCAGAATGCTCATCATGCCTTTCTCCTCTCCCCCACCCACTCTGGAAGATTAGAAGCAGAAGATTTATTGGGTCCCATTCCCAGCTGCGGAACCTGAGCACACAGAAGGGAAGTGGCTGAGTTAAGACCCCCAGCAGCCTTTGGTGGGCGTTCCAACTGGTCCAGGGCTCTTGCCCTGTCTCTGTGGGGGTCTGACTGTCTGTGCCACAGGGTCTGCTGTCCAGGTGGCTGCGTGGGGGATGGAGGGCAGGCAAAGTGAGATGTAAGGAAGGGCACTGACTTTATGTCAGGCAGCTTTGGGTTTGATCCCAACTCTACCACCGCACTGCGAGATGCTGCTGAGGGCAGCGTCCCATCTCTTTGCATCTCAGGCTCCTCTTCCATAACACGGGTGCGGCACTCCCCACCTCCCAGTCTTCTTGCCTCTCCAGTCTTCTTACCACTCAGTTGGACATATTTTAGAGGGAGGATTGTTTCAGCTCCCCAAACTAGACCTCATGACTACTTCGTGGGCTGGAGCTCACAGGGGGCAGGGACCTCAGAGGGCCGAGAGCCCTGGGGCCCTGCCGTGGTCACGTTTGAACTTACAGCACCTGGCACATTGTCTTGCACATCGAAGGCACAAAATAATACCCACAGGATGAGTGAGTGAAACTTCTGGATGAGGGAGCCAAGGGTCAGAGGGTCAGGAAGGTGACGAGTCCTGCTAAAGCCTGTGCGGCCCATCAATCACCCGGAGAGGTGTGTGCAGTCCGCTTCCTTTTTTATCATGGGCAAAAGGGAGAGGCGAGAACGTAGCCTAGTGTATTGGCTCATGAAGTCTTGTGTTTGCCAGGGAAAGTCCCATTTTACACCTGTTTTCCCCTTATAATTATAATAATGCCCACTTTCACTATCAAATATGTCCTATTTTAGATGATAAACTGTCTGTTCTCCCTGTTCTGAGGGAGAGTGGAGGGAAGGAGTGTGTGTTTGTCTGACTCCATTAACTCCCCCAGCCCTCATCTCTCCTAACCTGTCAGAAATGCCCTGAAAATGTCATCCCATTATCTAGTCACTGAAAGTCCCATTTCAACTGCGCTCACCCCAAACGCCACCTTCCCCCAGCAGAATCTGCATCCAGGGTGCTCTCATGGCCCGTGCAGTGGGGTGATGGGGTTCCCCGCTGCTTAACCGCCCTCCACTGTACCACCAGCGAGTGGACCAAAGGCAGCGTTCTTAGTGTGCCAGATGACGATGGGCACCTGCTCACCAGGCCTTTGCTAGCTGGCATCTAGCCTTCCGATGCCGCAGGGGTATCTGGGCCTGTCAGAGGAAGAGGGACTCATCATCACAGCTCTGGGAGGGCCGGGCACCCTCTCCAAAGAAGGACCCCCAGGCTGGGATGAGAGCTGGGCAGCCTGAGGTCATCCACCTGGAGAAATGCTGGATTGGGGGCAGGCAGAGAGGCGTCAAGAGCACAGAACATCCCACCCTGGGGAGCTCACCAAGCCTGGGGCAACCTCAGAGACGAGCATTTTCAGACATGATCAGGAACGCGTGGCTTGGATGTCAGATTAGGGGATGGGGCTGGCCCTCCTGCCGGTCCTCAGTCCTTCAGAGGTGGCCAGGAGAAAAAAAGATCCATTAAAACCTAACAAAGTAAGCAGGTACTCTGGGAGAGCCCCTCCATACCTAAGGACCTTTTCAGGGCCTGTGTGCACAGGGGCTCCTGCCAGAGGCTCCATCGGTTCACTCACCTCACTAGGCTCTCCCCACCCACCAACCCCTTCCCCTGCACACTGAGAGATGGCAGAAGACTCCCGAGCACAGCTGCAGGGGCCTCTGTGGCTGGTCTCCAGGCGTGTCATGGGAGTGGTGCCTTCCCCCTGGACTAGTGCCCACCCCCACCAGGGCAGGGACCCTTCACTTCCTGATCCCACGGGGAGCCATGGCCTGGACTCTGCAAGCAGCCTACACTCGACTGTCACTTACCAGCCACACGGCTGGGAACAGGGCATTAGAAGCTGGAACCTGGGGCTGGTAGGTCCCACTGTGCTGGGCCCAGAAGTTCCCTCGGCAGAGAAGACTGCACTGGGTCTCACTGCTCTTGCCCTGGCTCTACCTGAGCCCGTGGAGCCCC